CTTAATGTGATTGAATGCTTAAAGTGCATGATATATGAAGTGTATGCCAACAAACAAAAAATATATAAGGTATTTGAATTTCCCATGAACTTTTTGATGGCCCTTCATACATCAGACAGCCTAGATCTACTTATGGGTCATAATGTGGTGCCCAGAGTTTCTCAATATATGTGTTTTTAGAACATCTGATATGTAATGTATATATTCTATAAAAGATTATAAAATCTATAAAAATGAATGAAATGTATATGTAATCTGAAAAGCAATATATTTATTAAACTAATAAACTCCTTCCTGAACACAGAAATTAAGAGCATAACTCCACTGTTGTGTGCCATGCTCACTCTTTAAAAATTAGCATTTCACTGAGTGGGCCTCACCCAGGAGGCCATGTGGCCCTCTAGCCTGTGGTTCAGTTTTTAGTTAAAACATTTGTGTTTCTTTTTGATAACAGGTCAAGAAAGATTTGGAAACATGACAAGGGTCTATTATCGAGAAGCTATGGGTGCATTTATTGTCTTCGATGTCACCAGGCCAGCCACCTTTGAAGCGGTGATAAAGTGGAAAAGCGATTTGGACTCAAAGTTAACTCTCCCTAATGGCAAACCAGTCTCAACAGTTCTGCTGGCCAACAAATGTGATCAGGGAAAGGATGTGCTCTTGAACAATGGCCTCAAGATGGACCAGTTCTGCAAGGAGCATGGTTTCGTCGGATGGTTTGAAACATCAGCCAAGGTAATAGGACCTTAAGAGATTTTTTTAAAAAAGAGATAATTGAAATGTAAGTAAGAATGACACAGAAAAGAACACATTACTGATCCTTTTATGCCATTGATTCTATCATCAAACCGAGGAGGTGGACAGGGCAGGAATTACTGTCCATAATTTAAGATGAGAGTTGCTAAGGGAGCTAACAATTTGTAGATGGTCACACCGACAGTAATGAATAACTGCTTGTGTTTGTTGAGTGTTTATTGGGGACCAGGCATCTTCTGCATGTGTTTTCTCTTCCATCCTCAAGATCACTGTATGAGGATAAGACTATCTTTGTTAGCTGCTAGGAAGTCTGCCTCTGGCTTAGGCGGCCCAGTGCGCAACAGAACTGAATGCTACCTACCATAAGCCAACTTTATGATCAGTTGGGGATCAAAATGTTGGGATTCATATGGACTTCAGTGACTGATTTTCAGAAATAAATCTCGGGGCCTTTCTGCCTAGTCCATCATAGCCTGGAAGCTGTGCTAAAGCCTGTTGACATCACAGCAACACACAAGCCTCTGCTGAGAGACAGGTGGTGGCTGTGTGGGAGGTTCATCAGGTTCAAATGGGGTCTCCAGTCTATGTGGAAGGGAAGAATTCTCCGACTGAACCACCTGTGGCAGCAAGTATGATGGAAGACTGACCCATTTTACACTAATAAGAGATAGACCTTAAATTCAGTGTCCACGGCTTCGTATGTGTATTTCTTAACTTAATCTGTCAGTATTTAAAAACTTCTTCTTCATACTAGGAACGGTATCATTGTTTTCCCTAGAACTGAAAAGATAGCAAGTACAGAGAACTGCCAAGTAGAGAAGACCGAGGCCGTGGGGAGAGAGCGCCGACGGTGGCAAGTGCACAAGGGGGGCATCGACCAGCCTGGCAGGCAGGCGGTGCAGCAGAGTAGCAGGAGGAGGGGCAGAGGTAGGGCCAGAAGATGAAGGAGAAGGATTTTACCTTTCCCTTTGGGCCTCCCATTGCTGACTGATTGCCAGGCCTATGATTTTTGTCTAATCCCTTTTGGTTTTTTAATAGATCTTTATTTCTCAGTATCAGGAAAAAAGATTCTTGTGGAATATTTTGAGAATCTCAAGAAAACCCCACAACTTCAAACAAAAGTATGAAGGAAATAAAGACAGCTCGACATGCGATACATGTTTTTATGTATTTTTCAGATATTCCGTGTGCATATTATTAGAAGTATATTCTACATGTAGTTTATATCATGGTTTTTCTTTTTTCCCCCTTTTCTTTATTTATGTATTATTATTATTATTTTTAAAATTCAATTTATTGGGGTTCATAAAATTCATCACAATACATAGATCAATTGTGTAAAGCACATCTATACATTTGTTGCCCTCATCATTCCCAAAATTCACTTGCCTCTTGGGTTCCCGGAATCAGCTCATTTTCCTTTTTCCCCACCTCCCCCTCCCTTCCTCTGCCCCCCTCCCTCATGCACCCTTGATAATTTATAAATTATTATCATATCTTATATTACACTGCCTGGCGTCTCCCTTCACCTACCCCTCTGTTGCCCATCCCCCAGAGAGGAGGTTATATGTAGCTCCCTTTGATCAATTTCCCCTTTCTACACCCCCCTTCCCTCCTGGTATTGCCACTGTCACCCCTGGTCCTGAGTGGTTCATCTGTCCTACATTCCCTGCGTTTCCAATTCCTATCTGTACCGCTGTGCATCATCTGGTCTAGCCAGGTCTGCAAGGCAGAATTGGGGTCCTGGTAGTTGGGGGGAGGAAGAGTTTAAGAACTAGAGGAAGGTTGTGGGTTTCATTATTGTTATACTGAACCCTAAGTGACCCATCTCCCCACTACCCCTTTGCAAGGTATGTCCAGTTGTCTAGAGATGGGCATTGGGTCCCCATCACACGCTACCCTCATTGACGAGGATATGATTTTTCTCCCCACCTTTGGTGTTTGAAGCCTGGTCCCTTTGGCCCTTCATGATCACTCATGTTGGTGTGCTGCTTCCATGTGGACTTTGTTGCTTCTGGGCTAGATGGCCGCTTGTTTACTTTCAAGCCTTTAAGACCCCAGATGCTATATGTTTTGAGTTTTTCTACCTTTTTTCTTACTTTATTTGTCGAGCGCAGCTACTAACTCCTTGTTGATCAGAAGCACTGTGCTAGCTGGTTTGGATTTAGCTGTGAATAAGATAGGCCTTGCTCCTGCAAACCCAGAATCCAAGCTCACTATCATCGAGTCAGTGCTGACGCCAGTGATCCCCTGTGGGTTTCTGAGTCTGTACTGTTTACAGGATTACACAGCCCAGTGTTTCTCCCGTGGAGCTGCTGCTGGTTTTGAACTGCCAACCATTTGGATCATAGCCCAACTTATAACCACGACACCAATTGGAGGGAGCGATCCTGGAAACAGAGTGACATGGACAGGTCAAGAATGAGGACTAGCATAGTGGTGATGAGGAGAAAACAGAAAAACTGATTTGAGGATATCTTTGATGCGCAAACTAGCAGGATTAACCAATGCTTGGTGTGAGAGACGATGCAGAGGGAGAAGGCAGGGAGGGTGATGCTGCGCTCTCTGTCACAATTGGAATGTTCTTGTTTCAGCCATTTCACTGAGAGTCTCAGTACCCCCTTATCTCTCTTCTGCCTCTAGATGTGCCTTTTGTTTGGAAAGTTGTTATTCTCCAACTCTGGAAACTTATCCTCCATTGTGAGGAGGACCCAGTCATCAGTGTGCTTTTCCTCCTTTACTTGTGAAATGCTTTATTTCCCCTACGTGTTAGGGACCTGCCTTTTATGTTAGATACAGTGAGTACTGTTTCTACTTTTTAGCCGTTGTTGGATCTTTCTAACGGTTGCATTGAAAGATAGGTAGGTAGGTAGCTAAGTAGGTAGATAGATAAATAGAAGAAAACTCATTATTGCACGTTATTGACAGGTTTAATGAATACTTTCCAAATGTGGGTGGGCTTACTTATTCTCTTTCCCTTAGCCCCATTCGATTTTATTCCACAGCTCCTTCAGATGCTTTCAAATTCTCTCTTTCAAAGAGAATTAGTCTCTAACTCAGAAGCTTCCAGGTGCCGAGGTGAAAGAGTAGAATTTTGGGGGGACTCTTGTTTCAACTGACTGCTTTACATCTCATTTTAGACAGGATGACCCACACTTACAGGAGGACTACAGTTTTCCACGGTTCATTTATTTACTCAGTCAACAATTACCTTTGAACAGCTGTTATGAGCCTGACAAATGTTCTAGAAACTGAGAATGAATCAGTTCACATAAGAGGCAACATTTTACCTTCGACATCAACAACAGCAACTACAAAGCACAAATAAAATAGGTGTGGCGGTAGAGAGCCCCTGAAAAATCATTACGGGTCCAGTAGGCGCAATTGTACGGTGATAATAAATAAATATTACAGGATAGTATGGAGAACATGAGAAATAGAAGAGATATTGAAATAATGGAGTTAGACACAATTCATGGTAGCATGCTCACCTCATCCCCGCTTGGTGGTCCACGTGGAGAGAGCTGGAGAGCAAGAGCAGGGGGCTGGAGACTGTTTATTGCTAACCAAGGCTTATATCTACTTCGGGGGTGTGATTACAGATAACCACACATCACAGGAAGGGTCAGTACAATAGGCATACACATCATAGGAAGGGGATGTATAATAGGCATAAGTATGACAGGAAGGGGATGAGTTAGGGGTATGCCCATAGGAAGGGGAGGGTCTAGAGGTACACATGTGACAAGACGGGCAGACCCTAGACTCAATATGGCAGCCTAACCTTGGTCATCCTTGGGTGGGCTTAACTTTCCAGGACACTCCTTCAGGGAAACAATCTACTACTATCCTTATCAGAAGGGAATGGGCCCTACTTGTTGTGGGATAAACAATGGTGACTGCTTGCTCTAGATGGCTGACAACCCTTAGGGAGAATAACCCCTGACCTACTTCTGTTGACCTCCAAGTGTATAGTCATTTGCCATGTGTAGCCAGCAGCTAAGTTTGGGATACATTTGGGGGAGACAACTTGGGAGAAATCTTGCTGTTTCCCACAAATAGGTAGTGTCCTTGACAGTGATACGTGCTAAGAAAAGAAAGGAAGAGGTCCCTATGTTTTCTGGGAGAGGTGAAGTTGCCTGTGGATCAAAGGACCTTTCAGACATATGCTCACCGCATTTTGACTTTTCTTCATCAACCGTTGCACAACTTAACTTGGTTAGGGAGACATGTCATTTAATTCATAGAGACCGCAGAGGCAGGCTAGAGAAACCCCATCAAACTCCAAACTCATTACCAAAGCACTGATTCTGGCTCATCGCCACCCTATAGGACCGAATGGAGATGGCCAGGCAGGATTTCCAGGCTGTAAATCTTTATGGGAAGCAGAGTCTCACCTTGATCACACACAGTGGCTGGTGAGTTCAAACTGTTGCCCTTGTGGTTAGCAGCCCAATTCATAAGCCACTATACTACAAGGAGTCCTTGAGTGGTTACCCTATCTGGGTCTCTAAGGCATACTTTTTCAAGAGTAGATTGGCGGGTCTTTTCCTCATGGAGCTGCTCAGTGTGTTGCTCCACCTAAGTTCCTTAAACACACAACTTTCCTCTAGCTCTTTGGTGTTTCCTTCCCCTGACTTTAATGATCTCAATTCTACCTTACAAATCGGATTAGACCAGAGCATGCACACGACTACAGATAAGAGCCGAAACACAGGGAATCCAGGTTAAACACCTCAGGGCCAACAAGGAGAGTAGAGATACCAGGAGGTTAGGGGAGGGTGGGGGGAGAAAGGGAAAGTTGATCACAAGGATCAATCTAGAACCCCCTCCCAGAGGGATGAATAATGGAACATATAAGATATCAACAAAATAATCTATAATTTATTAAGGGTTCATGAGGGAGGGCGGGGTAGGGTGGGGAATGGGGAGCTGATATCAGGGGCTCAAGTGGGAAGAGAATGCTTTGAAAATGATGA